TCTTTTGTTGTTGCTGTTGCTGTTGCTGCTGCTGCTGCTTATTCTTTTTATCTTTTTGATGAGACTTCACTTTTTTTTGTTCTTCTTCCTCTTCGTTATCATCTTCCTCTACATCACTATCTTCCTCTACCTCTTCCATTAATAATGATTCATCAGCGTCTTCATCTGAATCATCAGAGTCACTATCATCCAAGTCGATTTCTTCGTCTTCCGATGATTCTGCTTCTATCTCTTGTTTAGGACGTTTGACACTCTTTTCATTCTTCGGTGACTCTACGGATTTCCTCTTTGACTTTTTATCAGGCAATTGTTTTATTTCTTCTTCCTCTTCTTCCTCTTCCAATTTATCTAAATCCATATCCTCGTCAAGTATCACATAACCAGTTAAATGTACATGTCCATGACCATTACATGTGAATGCTATTTTAGTCCCTTCTTGAAAATTCAAATCAAGAGGTACCTGCCATGTTGTACCCTTTTTTAAACTGCAAAGCAGGTAGTTCCTATTGTCATAGCATAACATTACTTGCACCAAATTATCATCTGCAATATATAAAATGTTATTTACAATAAATAAGTTAAGTTAAGTTAAGTTAAGTTAAGTTAAGTTAAGTTAAGTTAAGTTAAGTTAAGTTAAGTTAAGTTAAGTTAAGTTAAGTTAAGTTAAGTTAAATTAAATTAAATGTACATGTAAAACAAAAATAAAAGCAGCAATCATCATTCATAGACATTATGGACAAAAACGTCTTTAAACATGTTGTTTTTTTTGTTCTGCTATATTTATGTTTTATAGAAATATATTATGTAAAAAATATTATAATTGTTAAGTTAAATGAAATATAATGTATATTATTAGTCAGATACAAAGTAGTAAAAGAAAAATATGAAAATGTTAGGTCAAAGATTTTAAAGGATAACGTAAGTATTACCGGCCGTGGTGAGGTCTAAACTCGCCATCGACACGTGGAATGATTTTTCAACGACTTGTGTGTACCGTTTATTCGGTTCCATTATTAAACCTGAAAGAAAATTACAAACTTAATAAATTGTTTGTACGATAATGTTCAAAGTATTTTTAAAAGGCATTATTGGTTTTCATGACCACATGGCGACGCCATCCTGAAACAGTTCTTTGCCGGCAAATTTTTGATAACTAATAATTCTTGTTCAGAATGTCTTTTCCACTTACCCCAAAACATTTTGGCTAATATAATTATTTAATCTTCGTTCAAATTAAATTAAAATATTAACAATTAAAATCTTAAAGCACGTAAAACAAGAATATATATGCACGAGATTCTGTGCAACGAACGACACAAATCAGTCTTCCTCGATATCTCGCGCCAACTCGCAACGAACAACTAGAAACTCTCTATCCTCTGTACAATATCGCCGCCTAAAAGTCGATTTCCATCATGAATTATTTTTCTCTAGATAGTGTATATCTATACCAGAAGTGTCTAACTTACTCCCCTCGCGCTAGTAACTCAAAACTTCCCCCACTGTCTCTAGTCAAGGAGCAGCTTGAGACTGTATGTGAACAGTTCTATTTAGTGTTCAATACAAATAGATAAATATATAAGTATGGAGACGATAACTTTTCATGAGGGGAGTGTTACTAGAGTGGCCACGGTCACCGATTTAGCAGCTTTGATTTAAATAGTACTCTGAGCTTTGTGAGAATGCCAGCGTGACGTTACATGGCAAGAGGAATGTTTTGCTAGGGTGTTTTGTTTATAGTTTTTATTGATTATGTGGTAACCGTATTGACGAATCACGTTATAGACGCAGAACACGTAAATTTAAATATTATTTATATTTCTTTTCCCTTTTTTATATCTCTAAAAACAAATATGGAAAACATGACGAAGTGACTGAAAAATATGAATATAAACAAACACCGATCCACAAATTATAGCGTCTGTTTGGTGACTAAAGTTTACATAGTTTATGATCATCAGTGATCTGTGTTTTAGTTGGAATATACTACAAATAATATTTTGTAGTTTCCCTATAAGTTGTTTTAAAAGCCATTAAAATGATGATGGATTATTTTGTTACAAATAATTCCTTAGCACCTGCACCTATGGGAATTCAAAGTACTGCAGGTGCTGTACCCGTAAAAAATGATAAAGGTTAGTATTGAAATATTATAAATTTTTTAAATCACATATTTCTATTAAATACTAATCAAACACTGACATGTAGTTTTCATTGGGTTAATGAAGTAGTTTATAAAAGTGTTTTCTAACCATATGTAAAATATTATTTAACTACAGGGGAGCTTTCTATGAAAAAAGTAAAAGTACATCGTTATGTCTCCGGAAAACGTCCGGACTATGCACCAGCTGCAAGTTCAGAGGAAGAATCTGAAGATGAAGATTTCCTGGAAAGGCGAGCTCACAAACATTACGAGGATAATGAAATTTCTATGGATACTCCTGTACAGTCACAAGTTAGGATACGAGATGAGGATGACCCACGCATAAGAAGATTAACACGTTTGGAAAGACAAAAAGAATCTAACACAGAAATTCGTACAGAGAGACATAGACACATTTATGAACCAGAATTGATTGAAGTTGAACCTGAAAGAACTCGTGAAAGAATCAAGCTGGAAAGTTCCGATTCATCGGAAGATGAAGAGTTATCTGATTCTGAAATAGAAAGGAGACGCGAAGCATTGAAACAGCGAGTTTTATCTAAAAAAGAAAATGAGGAAGAACTAATTCATGGGGAAGAGGATGAAAGATCAGGAGATAGTTCAGACGAGAGTTCAGAATATGAAGAATACACAGATTCAGAAGAAGAAACTGGACCAAGATTGAAGCCAGTTTTTGTACGTAAGAAGGATAGAATTACAGTAATGGAAAAAGAAAAAGAAGCGATGAAACAAAAACAAGCAGAAATCGAGGCTAAGAAAATGGCAGAAGAAAGGAAAAGGCAGACATTAAGAGTAAATTTAAACATTTAAATAATAAAATAATTCTTTATAGATTTTTTAATTTTATTTATTATTGTACAGATGGTAGAGGAAGCAATAAGGAAAGAGACACAAGTCGGTAAAGGTAATAACGACCAAGAAGGAAAATTAGAAGATGTTTGTACAGATGATGAAAATGATGAAGTAGAATACGAAGCATGGAAGTTAAGAGAGCTGAAAAGAATTAAACGTGATCGGGAAGAAAGGGAACAGTACGTATAATTAAAATTAATAATATAATATTTTCTTGTGACTAGTATCATTACTGCACTAATGTCTTTAATAATTCCTATAAGAATGCTAAGATCTAAGGACGCTAGAATTTTACATGAATCATTGGAATAAAATAGTTAGCCCAATATGTTTTCCATTAAATTTGGCTAAATGGAGTTTTCCTTAACACGATAATTTTTATTTTCAGACTCGAAAAAGAACGTCTTGAAATAGAACGCATACGGAATATGACAGAAGAAGAGCGGAGGCAAGAGGCTCGCCTGAATCCAAAGGTTATTACTAACAAAGCAGCTAAAGGAAAATACAAGTTTTTGCAGAAGTATTATCACCGTGGAGCATTCTACTTGGATAAAGAAGATAATATATTTAAACGCGATTTCTCTGGTGCAACGCTAGAAGATCATTTCGACAAAACAATTTTACCAAAAGTTATGCAAGTGAAGAACTTTGGACGTAGCGGTAGAACAAAGTATACGCACTTAGTTGATCAAGACACTACTCAGTTCGATTCACCATGGATCTCAGAAACAGCGCAAAATCTCAAATTTCATAATAATCAAGCAGCAGGAATGAAGCAAATATTCGATCGGCCGTCATTAAAAAAGCGAAAAAGTGAAAACTAGTTAAACAACATATAAAGAAAATTATATTTATAAATTATTATAACTTAGTTTTTTCGTAACAGATGTTTTAAAGCTAGTTTTGCAGCCGCACATTTAGCTAGTTTTTTATTTGAACCAAATCCATGGAAGCGCTTTATCTTTCCAGCAATGAATACTTCTAATGATACCATAATGGAACTCGTGCCTTCAACGGGAACTGCATTCCTGAAAAAAATAATTTGCGCTATAATTGATTGCATATGTTGATTTTTCCTGTGTTGTTCTATATCGAAAAATAAGGAACACACTTACAAGAATTGCGGTCTTGCACCTTGATGTTCATATAATACACGAATCGGTTGTTTAGGAATGTTTTTACTAAATTCATCTTAAAACAAAGTAATAATATTTAGATTAATATATAATCACATTATAGAATTTTTATTTAAAAAGTTTACCAATTTCTGTATGCATAAGGGAAAAAATGATTTCCCAAACTTTCTTCAAATTTTTTCCTGAATCCATATATATGGCACCTATTGTAGATTCAAATATGTCCCCTAAAACTTTAGGAACATCTACATATTCAACCATATTGCATTCTTTTTCTTCCATTAAAATCCATAGGAGCTGTAAAAATCAATTCCAATAAATATGTACTTCATACTGCACATACTCAGTAGCTCTCACTATGATAAAGCACCTCATCGTTTACAACATGACCTCTTTCTTCTTGAAATTTAACAAACCGGTTTATAGCATCGTTCAATTGTGGCGAATAAGCCAATAACGCAGTATGCAAACCGTATCGTACACTCAAACATGCAAATGTAATATTGTTAACAAGTGCAGATCTTAAATCTGTTAAAACACCAGGACTCAAGTTCCCACAATATTCATAGATGTAAGATGTAATTAGAAAATCTAAAACACGAAAACATTTATTCGTAAATACCTAGGTTTACATAAATTCCGTTAAACATTCTACTTTCTTAAATGATTTCTTACCAATAACAGCGTCACCGAGAAATTCAAGTCTTTGATAACATTCGGTTATAGAATTTGCCGAGTACGAAGGATGTGTAAAAGCCTAAAATATTTGCATCGTGTAATTAAGATTATTGTAAAATATTAAAAACATATTTCTTTGATCTTTAATTGAAAATAATTCGATAACATGTACACCTAAAATTATATTAATGTCTCAAAATACCTGTAATAAAAAGGCCCTATTTTCAAATTTGTACCCAAGTTTTTGTTCTATATTAGAGGCCCAGGGAATCAAGTAATCTACATCTTCAGAAATTTCAGGATCTTTGGGCACAGTAAATAATAGGGCATTAATATCAATATCCTTTGGTAAGATTTCAAACCACGTTAATAGATTAACAGTACTTTTAATACCCATACTCTATTAAAAAATATGTATACTGAATAATTGTAAGTATTACGAGTAGAATGATTTACCATATATACAATTTATTACTGAAACATTTTGAACAAAAGAAGTAGTATTGTATATACTTTTTGTACTTACTGAAAGATAAACACCTATCAATGCTTCTACACAGTCGGCTACTGTTTTATCAGCAACAATTTGTATGCCAAGATAAAGTTCCATACCAGTTTGTGTTTCAGCAACGTCCCAATTTAAAACCTTGGATTTTATTGCGGTTTCAGTACTTTTACTCAGACATCCAGAAAATTTTTCCTTTTCAGGGATTTCAATTTCATATAAAACATTTGGTGATACCTTGAACAGAATATTTCATAGCATTATACATCAGAACGACTGTAATCAAATTATATGGTGAAACATTAACAAATTAACAAACCTCCGTATCTAGTAAGATTTTCTGAAGCTGTCTAAATGCTGAATAAGCGGGAGGAATGAAATTACTGAGAGGTACAAAATCATCTACTTTCATGCGTCCAGGAATACACTTCTTCTTTCCACAATAATAAAGATTACGGTTGCCGATTAGTTTTCCTTTCAGTGCCGTTAACGGACCTTCATTATAATTTGGAAAAAAAGTATACAAAAACAACGATACAACAAATTTCAAACATGAATCTCCTAAAGTTTCCAATCGTTCCAAATCGAATGCATCATTCCCAAGTTTACTCGTAAGTGCCTACAATGAATCACGGTGTCGTAAAATATTACAATGTGGTACGTTTGTAAATAAAAAGGAAAATATGTTAACTAGACTTACATATGTAATCTGTACTGGACTGGGACCACCTGAATTCTCAACTGATAATATTTTTAATTCCCGTACTGGAACCGATGGTCTATCCATAAACGTGAATTTTCTTATGTTCTGTAAAAATAAAATTAATCTTTAAAATAAAAATTGTTCATCAAAACTATTGTACCAGCAGGGAAATAATTCGAGTAACGAGTAGATGAGACGAGATAGGTGATCCAGGGGCAGTGAACTCAGAAGGCCACGTCGCCATCTGAAAAACCATCGACATAAACATACAACCGTTGTTGCGCGAAATGTTCGGAATTCATTGCCTTTAATAGAAAAACTGAAATACGGAGAGAGTGACTTTTCCCATTTTGAGCGATTAGCGAGCGATAATAATATTATATTTTTCGTTTTACTTTGTATACCTTCGAATTCAAACTCGGAAATAATGCTGCAAGAACCGCTCACAATATGAACAAAGCATTTGGGGACATAATATATATATATATATTATGTACTATATATTTTGTACTTGAGAGTTATAAATAACCCAATGCTTACCGTTGTATAAACATCTTCATCGCAACCGCTAGTCATAAATTGACAATAATGCTCAATATCAATCATTCTAATGTCTTCAATTTTTCTGAACAACTCTGGTGGTTCTTCATCTTTTGTCCATGGATAATGATATGCATCTGTATTTAATACTGTAACAAAACATAAATTTAATTTAATGCAAAAAACATATATGTTATATTAAAAAAGTAAATTATGTTTAATAACTAAAACATGCACCATCTATTTCTGGGCCACTCAATACAGGCTCTGATTGTAAATTTTCAACATCTTCGTTACAAATCACTTTTTTGGGTGGTTCAAGAATATCGATTTCTTCTTCTCTTATTTCTAGTGGAGGCCAATGATTAACGTTATATTCGACTACTAAATTAGCCTCCTCGGATACGAGACGTCGTAAATCTTCTGCAATTAAAAGCTGCGAAATTCTATGTAATATAGATGGTAACATTGTTGCTTTAAGCCAGTATAAAGCTGGAAATTTAACAATGGTGCAGAATTCTGGAACTAAATGTTCTTTCAGATCCTCATTCATCTCCATACGTTTACGATACTTCGATTCGGATTGCATACTCCTGTTTGTAATAAACAAAAATTAGTTGCAAATCTAAGTCTGTTTAAATTTTTCAACAGAAATTTGTACATTACCTAGGTTTTATACAATTAATCTTTTTTGATACCATTTTCGCTTCTAACATTGGTTGGGTTAAATTATGTACCGTTAAACCATGCTTTTGTTTATAATAATGAACGTATGAGAAGAAATTCTCCGATGGAAAACATGAATTTGGTGTAAGCTCCTCGCAAATCTGTGTAATTATATATACTTCCGCAGCAGCTCTATAATTTGGCACAACTAATGCTAAATCATAATCATTATGCTCAAACTGAAAAGGTACTGGCGGTGGTATATGCTGTATCTGTTGATGTTCTTGTATAATATCCCAATCTATTTCCCACTTTTCGTTAACTGGAAAATAATAAATAATTACATTTGATTTACATAAAATAAAGTTATCTTTCCATATTTACGTTACTACAAATTTACCTGGTGCAATTAAGAAACAATTGTCAAGATTATAATTGTCAAATATCATAAATGGTTTGATGACTGGTACAACTTGACTAAATATCAAGCTATGAAAGATTTTTATATTACCAATTTCTGTTGCAGATAAATTCATCTTTGCATAATTTACTTCAACATCAACTTGTAATTCACCGACATTCATAAAAATTGGAAAAGATGGTATCTATGTAACAAAATATTAGTTACCGGATTTCATTATTATATAATGATTTCTAGTTTTACCTGTGGCATTTCTTTCGAAGACAATATTCCAAATCCTGCCTTGTTAGATAATAAATTGTAAAATACCAAACGCCGATTATCATAATGCGGTGCTGGGTACATAGGTTTAGCACGAAGTAAATGAAGGTACACAGGTTTGGATGGTAAAGGATACGCACCATATAAAGCTGATGGAAACTGTAAATAATATATAACAATATGCATACATGGCAAATAGTAAATAAATTATAAAAAGAAATATAATTTCCACATCTACACTTCAAAGGAAATGTAATTAATTTATATATCACCTCACCTGTAGCTCATGATGTCGTTTCTTTTTATATGTTCCAATTATACCTGCATCTGATTTATCCTCTACTTCCCAATTTGGAAATAAATAATCTGTACTTTCTACGACACTTTGAAAAGTACGTGGTATTAAACTATCAGTCAATTCGCCAATTTTATGTAATTCTATACACATTTTCATTGCAACAGATCTTTTTGCAGAATTAATGGAAGACATCACATTTCCAAATACAGTAGTCTTTAGAGGAGATAGAATTGGTAATTTAAGTGAAACCTGGGAAACATTATAATGAATATTATAAATACAGTGTGAACAAAAATTTCAATTATTTGCTATGTATATGTATGTAGGAAAGAATAATTGAGAAAAACAGAATTGTTATTACATTCTTTAATACCTGATATAAATTAGTTTTATTCTGTTTATTACGCTCTTCAATTTTATACAATATCCAAGTGGGGCTTAGATATGCAAATTTAGATTTCAATAATTGAAGACAATACATGTTTATTAAACTAATTGCTGTATTCTCTGTTATAGAACACTTTGTTCCATCACTGCTCGTGACAATATATGGTTCTATTTCATGTACATATAACATATTCTTCATATCATCATTTGTTAATTCCTTACGATATTCAGTTTGACCCACTAATAGCTACATAAGAAAATATGAATAATTTAAAATATAAACGAATATAACAAAAACAAATAAGAATGGATAAAGTACCTTCTTTAAATGTGATTCTACCATTTTATAACTTTCAAACCGTTTTACATAATTCTTATCAGAGTTTGATAACAAGAATGTATATTGACTAGCACTGTGTCGTGCTCTACCTTTGCTTTGTATGTAAGATCTAATATCCATTGGTAAATTATACCTGATAACCAATGTACAAGTTGGTATGTCAATACCTTCATCGATAACGTCTGTTGCAATAAGACAATTTGTAAAA